CAATTAGATGATAATCAACGGAATTGTCAATGAATCATCCATAAATAATAATACCGAAAAATCATTGATAAAACTATGTTCATATTTAACAATTTTTTCTTTTCTAAAAATTCTTCGTTCCATTTCTAGAATATTTTCCTCAAGAAGATGTGTTCATATTCATTTTATAAGACTTTTGTGATAATTGATGAAGAATAATGAATGAAAACGAATCATTTTTTTATACTTTTCTCTCGTTACGTATAAAGAACTTATGTTTTATGAATATGATTATCAAAAGAAAAGAATGAGTATAACTTTGTTTGAGATTAACTCAATATTTATTTGTGAAACACAATCTGAAAGAGAGTGTTGAAGTATATCGGGTAGAAATTTGCACCCCTTCCCCCCACAGACCGTGACAGAGAAACTGAAATGATTTACGCCATTCGAAAGAGCGTCAAAAGTTATGCTTAAAACCAAATTTTTAGTCTTTTTTGAAATCATATCAAGAAATACGAAGAGATCTTTGAACCTACCACCAAGTACTATTTTATAAATCTTCGAAAATTTTGATGAATTGTAGACAATTCTATTTAACACTTTATGACAACATATATTACTATTGAAGATGCTTCTTTTTTAGTATTAATTAACGTATCTTGATCAGATCTGTTAAATGGATCATCATAGAACAAGATTCTAAAAGATAAATTGCGTCTAAAGAATCTCTAATGTGTTAGTTTTTACTAAAAAAATAGATGAAAATGGGCGTTTTTTTATGAAAATTTTTATATTTTTGTCCTAAAGTATACCAAAACAATTTGCCTCCCAAAAATATTTTAGTAGCAGGAGATAGTCTGTGAAAAACTGCATCTTTCTATATATAACTCAATAAGATAGCGTTTGGTAGGTTTATTTAATTTTTCACAACAAACAAGTTCACTACCATGCTTTTTGCTAATATTTTTCTTTTTCTCTAACTAAGAGAGTATAAAAGAATTTTCTCAAAATATCGAGAAAAAACCATCGGAATCCGACGTAAAGAATCTAATTGTAATACAAAGATAAAATGTTCCAGAATGCAATTGAGACTAATTTGAAGTGTTTGTTGACAAATTCTTTTAAATTATCAAAAGTTTCTACTCAGTTGTCCTTGATTATAATCAAAATATCGGATCTGTGCATACAAAAAGAAAAGTATATTAACTTATTGTATTTCTATGATGGACAACATTTTCACGTCATGATCTCTTTTCGTTCATTTTTACACAAGCACATAATCGATAGGAAAAATAATCCCGTTATTTTTGTACTGTGCAATGAATTTTCTTTTTTGTGCAACTCAGGGTGTGGGTGTGGGTATGGGTCTTCTATTCTCTCACATTCTCATCGACACCCACACCTTGATTTGCATTTATTTTGAAATATAAATTATTAACAAAGATTCCTTATATCTATTTTAAATTAATCGGAAAATGACGCTCCTGGTATCGAGTTTCATTTATAGGGAAAAAAGATGGCTTTAAGTCTACTAAAAAAAAGACTGAATAATTTTCATAATACTGACGCAGCATAAAAGACCAGGACCGGAAATTGTATCCAACACTATCTAATCAAAAAAAGCGTTTTCGGGATACATACATTCGCCTGTGTCTTGCTGCACAATGTTGTTGGCTCACCAATAAAGTAACGCGATAATGTTGCGATGCTATAGTATGTAGGATAGTACAGGATTGTGCCTGCTTTTTATACACACGAGAATGAATCTTGCTTGCACGCTTGGATTCGTAAACCAAATCTATGGGTACAGTTTAATAGAAACAATTCTACGCTTCACTTCACGTACATGATATCCATAGCTTTTTTTTCTTCTCACTTGGATGACTTGTGCAGCAAAACAACATGCGTATACTCGCAACTTGAGTCACTACCTATTTGACATGATTTAATTCTTTTGTTTGATTTGATTTGATTTTAATTCAATTTAACTTAATTTAATAGGATATTAGGAATTTACTTAAATTTAAACATTGTGACGTTGCATATCTCTAGGAGATACTTCATGAGACATTAAAAATTAAGACAAATGACGTGTAAATACAAACAAACTTTTCTTTTCTTTACTATTGGTAGTACTTTGATAATGATACGGAAAACAAGACGGTAATTCCCTCGACTGAAGGCAAGGTCGAGTGTGGGTGTCGGATGTGGATGTGGTGTAGGGATTCCTTTGATTTTCACCCACACCCTCAAGAGTTAATGATCTATCATTGGCAGATTTCACAGGCCTTCATAGATTTTGATAGATCTTCTGATGTACCAGTAACGATTACATGTCACCAGCATCTTATAAAAATAGATACATAAATTACTTCCTGATAGCCGTTCTAAAGGACGAAGTTTAAGATGTTGAATGAATTAGTTCCAAGATTTATCGAAGAAAACAGGATTCACATGATTAGTTAAAGCAGATACATCATGTGTCATATTTTGATCACGCAGAGATTATGCTAACAACTATTTTGGAGAGAAGAATGGTTGTATTTCGTTTATGTTGCTTAATAGCGATTTGTTCAAAATTAAGAATATCATTGAACTTATTTTACCATTGAAATGATCAACATATGGAAAAATTTGATCATCATATTTTAATTCATTCGTAAAAATGAACAAGTAATTCTATATTTTCTAATGCAACTAAACTTAATCACATGATTGAAAGATATTCTCTTGGGAATTCATCAGAATTTCTCACTTCAATAATCGATGTTACAAAAAAGTAGTTAACCTTAAATTAGCAGATCATTGTTTCTGCAAAGTTTATCAAAATCTTTATTTTTCTGTTTTAAATTATTTCCATTCTTGAACAATTCGATCTCAGATTAAACAGTTACCAATACGGATCAATAGATTGGATCAAATCGAAGTCATTTTGGAACTATCTGAAAATATGTCAATTGTGCAGTTCTCAATAACGTGCTTGAAAGTTTTTAGAGAACACATTGATTGGTTTAATCAACAATAACATAAATCACATTATAGATAACCACAAACGTATTACATTGAATGTACAAACCAATTTGATTCTAAATAGAATGTTTTCTAATCAAAGCACATGTGCCACTTTACTTTTCTTGTGTAAAGAAAAAAGATGCATTTGATTTATTTTTGAGATGTGGATTATCATAATACTAAAAATCATATTTCATCTAAATATCATAAGTATTATTCGAGCAATAATACTTTCCTCTAAATATTGGAAAAAAATCATCGTTGTACACGAATAATCGGTCGAATAAATTGCTGATTTTTGTGTGATTTGGTTGATATGCATTCTTTTGATCATTTCGAATTCTAGAATATTTATTAATGCATGCGCTTTTGTTTTGGTAATGTCGATATGATATTAGTGTTAAGTTGAACGAAAAAAATAATCATTAATAATTATACAAGTAAAAACGATTTAATTGATTCGTTCCTGTCTTTTTTTTTTTTATTTTGCATTAGTTTATTTTGTTTAGAACGTCGATATGGATGAAATTAAAGATCAGAGTGACATGAATCACATCTATTATTTTATTCTATTATGTTTCTTTGTATGTGCCAACTTATAAACGAAGGACGCTATTAAATGGCAAGAAAAATGAAGATTAAAGCTACCAGATGGCAATTCTCAAGGAGAATATTTAAAAAAAAAGGCATGTAAACCATATACAAATAAAACTTCAATAACGCATATCGCTATTATCTTGATGCTGCGGCTTGCTCTTCTGCTTTGGGAATAGCAGATGTAACGATTAAAAAAAAAAGAATATTATCAATGTTTCTGAAGTGAGGCTAAAGTAATCATTTGGTAATCGGTTAACAGTGAAATAGTGCGCATAGATGAGGAAAGCAAATTATAATTTCATCTTTGCTTCAACTTTCACAGTGAACTGAAATACGTATATCCTTTCCATAAGCATTAATGCTCTGTGCTTTATTTCACTTAAGAAGTTCAGAATAGTATTTCTACACATTAGATTAGGTTTTTTTTTCAAAAAGAAGGCTCAACGGCCTATCGTTGTTCCTTGTATGAACCATTACAGGAAATTCAGACCGACAAGCTAAACTTTGTTAGACTAATAGTATGAACTATAGTTCCCAAAATACTCTTCAAGCATTCTTTGTAATAGGAGATACAACACAGAAGCTACTTCAAGAAAAACTTCACAAACTCATGAAACTGTAAAACGCATTTTAGAAGAAGTTAGATGTGTCTATATTGCAAATTTTCATGATTACATTTAGAGAAAATGCAGTTTTGGAGCATATTTTTAAACTGGACGTATTTGACCTTGTATTATGAAACGCACTGGGTTGTATTCATATCACTCAATGACTCTGATCACATTTAACGATAAAAAGATGAGTCTGAATGAGTTACAAGTCAGTGCGAAACTCACGAGTTATTGAGAACAAAAATACTTATAAATTAATAGCTGCTAGATGAGAAACCACTTGGCAACTTATGCTTAGTAGAAGTCGCATTATAAATTTCCATTGTTAAACTCAGGATTTCTGTGCCGTAAAAACATTAGGTAGCTTCTACAGACAAATCAATGCGGCATTGGTCTTCAACACTGTCAGGCCATACGGCAAGATAGCTTTTGAATCTTTTGGATTTTTCTCGACCTGTACTGGTATCAGTTTACTACAGAACGCTACAAATTAACAAGTAACGTTCATTGAAATCCGATTCGCTCGACTCTAGACTAAGATATCGAAATTCAATTTTGTATGTCTGTCTCCCTATAACACATGGTACCAAGTGTTACGGACAGATACAAGTAAATTTCGGTTTCTAGACCCTATATTTTCAATCTATGGAAAAGATGAATAAGTACAAATAATAAGGGATGACACTTTAGCTTTGATTTAATCTATAGATTGTCATTGTTTTTGACTTTTCATTAAAATCATTTTTTTGATTAATCGAATTTTAATAGTCGTATTCGAATAACTTACTTACTTCAGAAATGTTTTGCATTATCTTACTTTCATCGATTGCGATATTACTCATTACCATTTATTTTTACATTAAATGGAAATATTTTACTCTACGTGGCTCAGCACCTGGTCTCGGACCCGAATTCTTATTTGGTAATCTTCGTCAACTCAGTGTGATTGGACCGAATAAAGAATTAATTGATACCTACGTTCATGCTTGTGACAAACTTCAAAAGAAATTTGGAGATTTATTTCAATTGTGGATGGGTTCAAATCATTTTTATGTATTCTGTCGACCTGAACATGCTGCACAAATCTATGGAGATCGTTATCGATTTGATCTTGCTGTAATGCGCACAAAAACATTTGGATTAATATCAGAAAATTTCATTATTTCACTTACTGGCTCAAAATACAAACGACATGCTAAAGCGATATTGCCTATGTTAAAAAGGAATAAATTCTTATCACAAATACCAATTATCATCGATTGTGTCGATCAATTAATTCATGTTTGGAAACTTCGATATGAAAACAATGAAGATATCCCATGTACATCTATAGTCAATGATAATCAACATTTGATGTTAGATACGTTCACACTTCTAACATTTGATTATGATTTGGGAAATTTAAAGTATTTAGCCCAAGAAGCAAAGAAATTTAATCGAAATAAAAAATATCAACCATCCGATTTTGGTCAAGCATTATCAACTTGGCTTGATGCATTAAGACGTGTCAATATGAATGGTCTACCATATATTATCAACTATTATCTGTTGAAATTCGATCGAAAATATCAAAGTGCTTTGAAAAAACTTCAAGATCAAGCGGAAGAAATTATTTCGAAATGTCAAATGGAAATGAATGAAAATGAGAGACCTACTAATCTTGTTGCATCATTAGTATCCACATTACAAAAAGATGAAGAACTGGAAAGAAAGAAAAGTGAAAACGAACAACGTGGTATTACAAAAAAGGAATTATTAGATGAAATATTAGGATTAATTCTCGGCGGTTTTGATACGACATCAACTGTCCTATCTTGGTTTATATATTATATGAGCAAAAATCCTCAAGTTCAACAAAAAATTAAAGATGAATTGAAGCAACATAATATTACAAAAGATACCTCATTAGATGGTTTGAATCTACTTGATAAATGTGAATATCTTGATTGTGTCATCAAAGAAACATTAAGAATACAACCAATTGGTATCGGTTCGCCTCGAACCGTTACTGAAGATGCTACTATTGATGGAGTGAACATTCGTAAAGGAGAATCAGTTTTATCGGCATTCTCTTTTATGCAACGTGATCCAAGATATTGGAAATTAGATCCTAAGCAGTTCATACCTGAAAGATTCTTTGGTATTGATGCGCCTGATGCCAATCATAATCCATATGTATTTGCTCCTTTTGGTGGTGGACATCGAATTTGTATCGGACAAGAATTAGCACGTTTAGAATTAAAATTAATTATTACTCGTTTTATGCTTTTCGTCACTTTTATTGATGGACCTGGAAACAACGGTGGATACTATCAAAAGATGACAATTTTACCAAAAGAAGTCTCTGTTTTTATAAAGTTTGATTGATCTTTCAACAAAATATATTAATAATTTCGTAACACACACACTCTCTCTGTAGTTTTAAAAGGACACGAGTATCTGTCGCGCGATTGTTCTGTAGTCTTTCTTCTATTTGAAAACTTTTCAGAATGTTTTTTTTTCTTCTAATTACATATACATCATTGTAGATTTCAAGTTTCTGAATAAAAATCATCATCAAGGATTATCTTTCAGTTTTTCCTAAATACCTATAGAAAAACGTTATTCCGTAAAGTCCTTATATTTTCAGCTAAACAAGTCTTATTTAAGACGATTTAGAACAGCTTGATCAATATTTTCTCATACTATCAAATATGAAATATTCAACTCAGCACTGATATTTCGCTCAGTTAATTCTGTTCAGATTGAAACTTCACTGACAAGTGGCTCAAGAGAGAGATGTTTTTAATAAACGTTTCAGCGCAATACGTCGAAGTAGGATAAAGAATGGGTATGCGTGTAAGTGTTTATCTTCTATTACGTGATACCTACATGCATAATGGATTTGCTGACGAGAGAAACTGAAACCTGCGTATCTCACTCAGGATGGGATGTGGGTGTGGTCGTGGGTCTAAAAAGAGTAACTCTACACCCACACCCTCCTCTATTTTCCATAATTCATTAAAACAAACAATTATATCTTGACAACAATCGATTCGAATCCATAAAGAAGAATTTAGATCAAATAAATAGTTCAAACTTCACCAATTCCTAATTGACGAATCGAATCGATTTACATTAAATAATAGAAAAAAAATTTTCTCCTTCATTTTTTCAACAAGTTCATTCTACTTGTCGGTTCGAAAATAAGATAATAGAACGATTCGTTTGTGAGGGAAAACGATCTCTGTCACTCGTGCAAGAGAAATATGATCTGCTAGTTTTTAAAGCCGGCTGTTTTACAATTAAAGATACACATAATTTATGCTCACAAATTTAACAGCCTTCACCTACACTGGAGACTATTTAGATCAGAAGTACAGAATCGATCTTAAAAAAGGAAAAGTTTCCCCGAATGAGACAATAATTCTAAGAGTCTCCACAGTCTCAATAGTTTCGAACAAACATGCCCAGATAATAATTTTTAAAAAAGCTTCTCCGAACTCATTTTTGTTTCTGAAATTTCCCCCAAACGTGTTTTCGAGCATGCGGGCACATTTTATACCTCTGATTTAGATTGACTTGCTCAATTGAAATGAAATCTAATCGTTGTAAGTTGTAAAACCATTGCATATTTTTGCCTTGATAATAAAAGTTTTATGTCCCTTCCTTGATAAACTGTTTCCGAAACAGTTCTTATTTCCTGATCCTCTTTTCATTATCGAATATACGTTAGATTAATCTTTCTTAGCTTTTGATTATGACTACGAATAAATAAAAATTAGTCGAGTAAAGAACACAGTAGATTAAAATTAATTTTATTAAATAATCAAAATACAACCACAATATATTAAAATATGAGAAAAATCAATCTATCAATGTTGTTTGATGCACACATAGATATGATCATCATGCGGAGTTTCCGATACTGTTTGATTATTTTGCTCAAGTCAAAACAAAATTCTAAATTTTATAGTTTCATCAAAGATCAGACAAAAAAAAGATAAAACTGGAAAAAATAATTTTGTTAAAATACTTTGTCTTTTTTGAAAGAAAAATTTGTGATAGGTGTAGGATTGATAATCATAAATATGATGAACAATTTTTACAAAACTTGGTTCGGTCGCCAATAGTTTACGTTCGATAACTGGGTCCACTCCAAAGCAAAGGGTTTGAATTACTAACATAATCTGAAGTTATAAGGTTGACACATTATTCTGATAAAGATTTTGTTCAGTTTTTATTTTGATTTCATTCTAGGCAATATTAAGTCTCCAGAATCACAAAACAACCATAATACCTGATCGCCAACACCATCTACACTTTCAGAAAAACAAAGAGAGATTTCAACAACAAGACATCGCATANTTATTCTGATAAAGATTTTGTTCAGTTTTTATTTTGATTTCATTCTAGGCAATATTGTGAGAAGTTCAAAATTGACATCATCTTAAATACCAGGAAGGAATAAAAAAGCAAGCTATTGATGAATAGTTTCACTACTGTCGAAACCTTGTAACATAAAGTATTTAAAAAATGACTCTTCTCTCTGATATATTAATCAAATTATTTATCTATGAGAAATATAAATGCAATAAACTCTTATTTATTATTCGTCACTCCGCTCCATAATGTTTTTCTGAATTTCTCGGGTTGAACACCCAAGACATTTTTGCAACCATCCATCAAATTTTTCATATTTGCAGACGTCTTTAAGAGCAAAATATTGTATGTAACGAAAATATTTTCCAATTCATCGTTTCACATAACGTATCGGTTGTACTCAATTGTATATTAGTAGATTTTGAGCTTCGTGAAAAGACTCAACTTTAGAATTGTTCGTATTTACAAATTCTCTGATTATTATATTCGATTCTTGTATGAAGCGAGAAAACAATAAATGGTACTGAATCATTATTATCATTCTGATGGACCATCTACCTCATAAAAATCTACATTTCTTTTCTATATAATACAGCTAAAGTCTGATAAGACTTGAACTTCTTTCAAAGAAACACCAAACATTGGAGTTATCGAAATTTTCTCTATTGAATATGCGAAC